AATGGCAAGCTTCTTTATGTGCAGTTGGTTTATGTAGGGAAATTTTGTACATGTGCACAATACAGCAATGACCTCATTGATCCATTTAAACATCATGTGACTACTTTATGATTAGCTTCGGATAATTCACTCAACATACACTTTTTGACATAACCCTTTCAACATAACCCAGTTTAACATAACTTAATGGAGAACATGTTGTTAGCCATCACTTCTTTGTTCTTATCTGATGAGGCCTGAGGCTATGGAGGAACAAGGTAGATTGAATACCTGCCCTTGCTGGCCTTGCCGTTTGGAGGCTGTTACTTCAAATCTTTAAATAAGGCATAAAGAAACTTCTTGGGCATACAGGAAATTGTGTGCAAACCTCTGCTCCCATGTAGGCCTTAAGTCAGGGGGGTTTTGCTGGAACCTTTTATAAGGAATTTTCAGGCTGGACAGAATTCTCAAAAGTCTTTCTCGAGCCCAAGTTTCATCTGTGCCATTAGATACCTGTATGCATTGGGTAAATTCCTCTTGAGGTCCCCAAGCACATTTCCATTCCTGGACCCATCAGCAAGTGACCTTCGTTATTTACCACAGACTGGGAAAAGTTACTGATGGGTATCTGGCCAGTTTTCCAAAGGGCTTTTTTATTGGCCTTATAAAGTCAACCTTAATTCCTTAATGCAGTAAATGCTATTTCAGCCAAAGCCTTGGTCATGTTAGGCTTACAACCAACCTGGCCACATGGGATTCTGCCTCAGTTTCTTACTAGTATGCCTGCACAAAGTCTTTTCACTGCTCTCTCTCAAACGGCTTTTTTGGCCAGAGGTGAGACAGTCTCACTTTATTGCCCTTGGTAGAGTGCCACGGTGTCACAGCTCACAGCAACCTCCAACTCCTGGGCTTAGGTGATTCTCTTGCCTCAGCCTCCCGAGTAGCTAGGACTACAGGCGTCTGCCACAACACCCAGCTATCTTTTGTTGCAGTGTGGCTGATGGGGCCTGTGCCCTACTCACTGAACCATAGGTGCCACCTGCAACTTAAAATTCTTGCATGACAGCTCACAGCAACTTCGAACTCCTGGGCTCAAGGGATTCTATTGCCTCGCCTTCCTGAGTAGCTGAGATTACAGGGTGTCCACCACAACGATCAGCTAATTTTTTAATTTTTAGTACAGATGGAGTCTCACTCTTGCTCAGGTTGGTCTGGAACTTGCTCAAGGGATCCTCCCACCTCAGCCTCCCAGGGTGCTAGCATTACAGGCATGAGCCACTGCATCTGTTTTTTGACTCTGCATCTGATTCTTTTGACTCAGCCTCCCAAGTAGCTGGGACTACAGGTGCCTACCACAATGCCTCGCTATTTTTTTATTGCAGTTTGGCCAGGGCCGGGTTTGAACCTGCCACTCTCAGTATATGGGGCCAGGGCCCTACTCCCTGAACCACAGGCACCACCCTTCTTTTTCTTTTTTGAGACAGAGTATAACTTTGTCTACAGTGGTACAGTGCCATGGTGTCATAGCTCACAGCAACCTCAAACTCTTAGGCTTAAGTGATTCTCTTACCTCAGACTCCCAAGTAGCTGGGACTACAGGCACCAGCCACAAAGCCTGGCTATTTTTAGAGACAAAGTCTTGCTCTGGTTCAGGCTGGTCTTGAACCCATGAGCTCAGGCAATCCACCTGCCTTGGCCTCCCAGAGTGTTAGGTTTACAGGTGTGAACCACCATGCCTGAGATCCCATCTTTCTTTTTTTGAGACAGAGTCTTACTATGTCACCCTCAGTAGTGCCATGGCGCACAGCTCGCAGCAACCTCCAACTCTTGGGCTCAAGTGATTCTCTTGCTTTAGCCTCCCAAGTAGCTGAGACTACAGGTGCCCGCCACAACGCCTGGCTATTATTTTGTTGTAGTTGTCATTGTTGCTTTAGCAGGCCCGGGCTGGGTTTCAACTTGCCAGTCCTGGTGTATGTGGCATCAGGCCTAAACAATATAGAGTGCAAAACAAACAAACCAACAAAAAAACAAATTGCAGAAAGATATGTACAACTTACACAAAATTATTATTATTTTTTTTTTTGAGACAAGAGCCACAAGCTGTCACCCTGGGTAGAGTACCATGGCATCACAGCTCACAGCAACCTCCAACTCCTGGGCTCAAACGATTCTCCTGCCTCCGCCTCCCTAGTAGCTGGAATTACAGGCGCCTGCCACAATGCCTGGCTATTTTTTGGTTGCAGCTGTAATTGTTTGGCAGGCCCAGGTTGAATTCAAACCTGCTAGCTCAGATGTATGTGGCTGGCGCCTTAGCCGCTTGAGCCACAGGTGCCAAGCCTTACACAAAATTCATAAAACAGTCTCGGCGCCTGTGGCTCAAGCGGCTAAGGCGCCAGCCACATACACCTAAGGTGGCGGGTTCGAATCCCCAGCCCAGGCCCACCAAACAACGATGGCTGCAACCAAAAAATGGCCGGGCACTGTGGCAGGCGCCTGTAGTCCAGCTACTTGGGAGGCTGAGGCAGGAGACTCGCTTGAGCCCAGGAGTTGGAGGTTGCTGTGAGCGTGATGCCATGGCACTCTACCCAGGGGGATAGCTTGAGGGTCCGTCTCAAAAAAAAAAAAAAAAATTCATAAAACATAAAACCAGGCTATGTACTATGTATAAAATTACATATGCATGAATGATCCACACCAAATTAATTGTTGCCTCTGGAGAAAATAGAAAGGGAATGTCATCAGTAAAGTATCTGCAAGAGGACTCAACTCGATTAGTAATATTTTATTTCTCATACAAAAAGCTGGAGCATAACAAAATGCTAGGATTTAACAGGACTGCATAGTACTTATGTTCTTTGCACTTAAAGAATTTTTTTTTTTTTGACAGTCTTACTCAGTTGTCCTGAGTAGAGTGCTGTGGCATCATAACTCACAGCAACTTCATGCTCTTGGGTTCAACCCCAAGTAGCTGAGACTATAGGAGCCTGCCACACACATGTCTGGCTTGTTTTTTTTCTATTTTTCAGTAGAGACAGGGTCTTGCTTTGCTCAGGTTGGTCTTGAACTTGTGAACTCAGGTTCTTGCCACCTGCCTTGCCCTCCCCAGAGTCCTAGGATTACAGGCATTGAGTGCCCATTCTGTACTTTTGCTTAGCTGGCCTAGGCTGGGTTCAAACCTTGATGTATGTGGCTGGTGCCACCACCACTGTGCTACGGGTGCTGAGCCTACTTTTATTTTTTAAGAGACAGGGTCTTGCTATGTTGCACAGACTGGAGGGCAGTGGCTATTCACAGGTGTGATGAAGGCACACTACAGCCTTGAACTTCTGAGCTCAAGCAATCCTTCTTGCCTCAAGCTTCCCAATTAGCTGGGACTACAAGTGCCCACTACTGCATGCAACTTTGTACTTTTATATGTGTTAAAATCATCCACAATTTTTAAAATAGAGCAAGATTGATAAACAAATCTAAGAATGTATTCAAAAAACAAATAGAACAATTCACTACTTGACTTAAAAAAGAAAACGTGTACAGAAGATAAGTAAATAAAGAAGAGGTACACAGAATAAACTAAGAATACTTTGCACAACTCTACAGAAACACGTTTGAAAGCAAGCCTCACTGAAGTGAATATTCTTTCTAGAAAAATTACAAGTTATAAAAATTGATAGGGGAAGAGGAAGAAGGAGAAACTAAAGAAAGTACCAAAGAAATGATCCTCAAAACACCAAAGCTCCAAGCACAGATAAATGCACCTCATATCCTTTCAAATCTCTGAGAAACACATTGCTTTATCATTATTATTTTTTGAGACAGAGTCTCACTATGTTGCCCTTGGTAAGTGTTGTGGCGTTACAGATCACTGCAACCTCAAACTCTTGGGCTTAAGCGATTCTCCTGCCTCAGCCTCCCAAGTGGCTGGGACTACAGGTGCCCACCACAACGCCTGGATATTTTTCAGTGCAGTTGTCATCGTTGTTTAACTGGCCCAGACTGGGTTTGAACCTGCCACCCTTGGTGTATGTGGCTGGTGCTGTAACCACTGTGCTATGGGTGCTGAGCTCATTTTCTTTATTATTTATAATAAAGAGCTCATTTTTAAAAATTATTTATAAACTTTTTTTTTTTTTTGAGACACAGTATCGGTAGAGTGCTGTCGTGTCATAGCTCACAGCAACCTCAAACTCCTAGGTTCAAGCAATCCTCTTACTTTAGCCTCCCACTAGCTGGGATTCGACGCACCCACCGCAATGCCCAGCTAGTTTTTCTGTTTTTAGTAGAGATAAGGTCTTGCTCTGGCTCAGGCTGGTCTTTTTTCTTTAGTGATTTTATTTATTTATTTATTTATTTATTTTTGGCTGGGGCTGGGTTTGAACCCGCCACCTCTGGCATATGGGGCCAGCGCCCTACCCTTTTGAGCCACAAGCGCCACCCTCAGAGTGCTAAGATTACAGACATGAGCCACTAAGCCCAGCCTATGCAAATTTTTCTAAAGCATAAAGAAGAGTCCTTTCTTTGGAGGTTATTTATTTGAAAATAGTCATATTTTAATTAAGTAGCTCAATAATTTTCAGTGTCATCCAGGTGAGAGGTATAAATACAGCAATATTTAATTTTTAAACATGACAGTTACAAAAAAAAAAGAAATATAAAGAACTGAAACAGACACGTGTTCAACCTTATTAATAAGTGAAAATATAAAATTCCATTGAGATTAAAATACTATTTTTCAACTAAAAGACTGGCAAAGATCAAAACATTTGATACACTGTTCATAGAGATTCAAAGAAATAGGCACCGTCAAGTAGTGGTGGGAGTGTAAATTGGCACAATCCGTATATATAGCAATTTACCAATATCTATCAAAAATAAAAATGCACAATTGTCTGGTCTAATTGTAATTTCAGATTTTATCTTACACTCACTCATGTGCAATATGATCTATGTGCAAGGTTATTAAAGTATCATTTATAATAGCAAAAGATTAGAGAAAATATAAATGTCATTAAGGATCACTCAAATATATTATGGTACATTCATTCACACAATGAAATCTGCAGTTGTAAAAAAAAATCAATAACTCTTTATGTATTGATATGGGACAATTTCAAAAATATGTTATGTGGAAGAACAGTGTGCATTTTACAGTACCACTTATAACAAATATCTCTGGAAAGATATTTAAGGAACAGGTAATACTCCAGGGAGGAACTGAGTCCTAAAGGAGGTGTATCGGTATATCAGTCTATATATCATTCTGTCTTTTTATGTGTCTTTGATCTGCCTGATAAACTTTTCCACAATTCCATTGAGTCTTTCAGGCTCCATGAGTTTATTTACCAATTCCTGCTCAACAGCCATTAAGGCCAGGGAACTAATCTTCTCTTGGCCCATCGTATGACATAAATATGTTTTAAGACGAGGCAGTACAGATAATGAGTTTTCTGTACTTGGTGAAGTAATTGGCCAAGACAAAGCAATAAATAGCAGCTCTGAGATGTAAGGAATATTATTGTGAAGACCATGTTGGATAAATAAATAGCCGAGACTGACGAAGTTGAGGCAATCATTATCTACAACAAAGTTACGCTTTGCATAATGCCGATAAAATCTAAGCTCTGGGATAATGTCTGCATCAAGTTTATAAAATTCTTGAACATTTTTGGCTGTTGTTTCATTTAATGGTTCATTCCATTTAAGTAATAGTTCTGAAATTTGCTTTATTTTGTAATAATCAAACTCTGAAAAACATAATTTTAAATTTTGTAATACAGTATCCAATCCTTGGTAATAAATATTAACTCTATATAGTTCTTCTGCTGAAGTAGGAAAAAACATACTATCTGAATTGCCAAGATCTATTGTTTTCTGAATTTTTCTTCTTTTCTGAAGAGAGGGTTTTTCAACTTCAAAACCTTTACAGGTTATTTTTTGACATATTTCCTCCGCTTCATCCCAAATAGTTTTGAAATATATATCATTTCTTTCAGATAATAAACATTCCAAAATTGCTTCTATTTTTGAAGATAGAGAAAAAATGTCTATGGTTTTACTCTGAAGCTCTTTGGAAAGAATTCTTGTAACACTTAGCACTCGATAGAGAAATTTCAAACAGAAGACAAATTCAAATCTGGAAACCAATCTCAGCAAATCACTCAATTCATCAGCCAGAGTCAAGTTTGCATAATGGCTCGACATGACCTCCAACATTTCAATAATCTCTGGGAGATTGTCGATCACAGATAGTAAGGTGCGCTCATGGACCGTCCAGCATGATTGGGATATGTGTTTCTTGCATGTTTTGTTTTGACTTAGCTTACAAATGTTCTGAAAATCTGCCAACATTTCTCCAGACATATGAATAGTGTTGAACAAAGAACTGAGAGCATTTAGAGTACTTCGGAGTTCTTTTACTTCTTTACAAAACCTAATTACTGCTAAATCCAAAAAGTGTGCATAACAATGTATGTATAAAGCTCTTGGTTTTTCCTTTTTGAATTCTGCTGCAATTTTACTAAATTTTATCCTCAAATTAGTGGTACTATCATAGGCCTGGCCATGCATTTTATTCAAATCAACTCCAAGTTGCTCTAGGTAAGTTTTGACAGTATCATGTAAGGGGGTCCCAGTCATCTCTCCGGTATCAACAAAACCCAAGAATCTTTCTTTAATGAAGACAGCGTTTGGTGATTTCTGTGGGTATCTTACACAAACTGAAAGCTGTTCTTTAGTTCCTCCATCAGTTACCTCATCACATATTATGGAAAAGGCTGAGCAGTCTTTGATCTCATTCACAATATCCTGCAACATTTCAGTCTTGATTATTTCAATAATATCACTTTGAATTTGTGTACTATTATAGAAGTCAACTTGTGAATTCGTAAGTTGAAATATTTCTTCTCCTTTATCTTTTGCTCTGATTTCTAACAGTTCCAAAAAATTGCCTTTATTCACATATGAAATAGACTGGTCCTTTCCCCTTAAAGGTAAACACTGCTTTCCAAGAAATAAAATATTTTCAATTATTAACTTTAGGTATTTTTTATTTCTCTCAATCTGTTTTGAATGAACAGATAAATTATCATCAACAGTTTCATCACAAAACTGATAATGCCGCCAGAATTTCAATGACTTCAAATGCATTTCACTTTTTTCATGTTTCCTGAATTTTTCCAGAGTTTTTTTCCAATTAGGAGTTGCAAATGACTTTCTTCCATAGCTAAAATTGTTTTGACAGAACAACTGGCATGAATAACAAAATGTCATATCTTTTTTAATATTGTCTTGCAAATGCTGAAAATTTGCACAAGATTTTTTAATCCTTCGTGATTTACCTTTAACTTTTTGCACTTTGGACGTAAATTCTCGGTGACACAGTCCATCACTTACATTCATAGATTTCATATTGTATCCTGGATCCTGGTTTGATCCTTTATCCTTTTGTACTTCTGTACTGGAACCAACTGTAAGTTGACGGAGTACTGACAAAGATGGTGAAAGGCTTGGCTGTTCCACACCACTACTGCTTGACTCACTGGGTGAAGAACTCTTTGGGGAGAAAATGATAAAATAACACTTAATAGTTTTCATATTATTGATTAAACTACCAAATACATGTATTCTTTTTTTTTTTTGAGACAGAGCCTCAAGCTGTCACCCTGGGCAGAGTGCCGTAGCATCACAGCTCACAGCAACCTCCAACTCCTGGGCTCAAGCGAGTCTCCTGCCTCCACCTCCCAAGTAGTTGGGACTACTTTGGTTGCAGCTGTCAACTGTTGTTTGGAGGGCCCGGGCTGGATTTGAACCCACAAGCTCAGGTGTATGTGGCTGGTGCCTTAGCCAAAAATACATGTATTCTAATACAGTAAAACGAATGGTGGAGTTATACACAGTATGAGCTCCATCAGGGGGAATTATTAATAATTGTTTGTAGCTTATTTATTTGGTATCTAGATTCAGCATTAAGTGTTTAAAAGACCTTTTGGTATTTAATTGTTAAAAAACATGGGTTTTGGGTGGTGCCTGTGGCTCAGTGAGTAGGGTGCTGGCTCCATATACCGAGGGTGGTGGGTTGAATCCGGCCCCGGCCAAACTGCAACAAAAAAATAGCCAGGTGTTGTGGCAGGCGCCTGTAGTCCCAGCTACTCAGGAGGCTGAAGCAAGAAAATTGCTTAAGCCCAAGAGCTGGAGGTGGCTGTGAGCTGTGACGCCACAGTACTCTACTGAGGGTGACAAAGTGAGACTCTGTCCCTAAAAAAAAAAAAAAATGGGTTTTACTGTTCATGTGATTAGAACTGCTTAAGAAGCATTAAAAAAAAAAAAAAGAATCCAGAAGAGAAAGAAAATATGACTAATAAAACTTCCGTTTAAATAGTCCTTTTCTCTTTTTCTTTTTAGGTAGGGTCTTGTTCTGTTGCCCAGGCTGGAGTACAGTGGTCTGATCATGGCTCACTGCAGTCTGAAAGTCTTAGGTTCAAGTAATCCTCTTTAGCTTCCCAAGTAGTTGGGACTACTTGCTGCCACAGTTGGCTCAGTTTTATGCTTTGTAGAAAAGAGATCTTGCTATATTAGCTCAGGCTGGTCTCAAACTCCTGGCCTTAAGAAATCCTCCTGCCTTAGCCTCCCAAAGTGCTGGGATTACAGATGTGAGTCACCATGCCCGGCCTAAACAATCTTATTACATACATAATTACTATATATATGTATATATATATATATTTTAGATAGAATCTCACTTTGTTGCCCTGGGTAGAATGCCGTGGTATCACAGCTCACAGCAACCATAAACTCTTGGGTTTAAGCGATTCTCTTGCTTCAGCCTCCTGAGTAACTGAGACTATAGGCGGCTGACACAACACCTGGCTATTTTTAGAGACAAGGTCTAATCTAGCTGAGGCTGGTCTGGAATTTGTGAGCACAGGCAATCCACCTGCCTCGGCTTCCCAGAGTGTTAGACTACAGGTGTGAACCACCTCACTCGGTTACTGTATATATTTTAAAAATCTACTTATAAAAGGAGCAAAAAAAAAAAAAAAAAAAAAAAAAAGGAAACTTACATCCTCAGTGATATTTGCCATTACTGAAGAAACTGTACCTGTTGAGATAAATTAGAACACAAATTCAAAATCTTTATATACTATAATCTATGAAAAGCATCATAAGCTATTGTTTATTTAATATCAAGAAACAAAAAGAAAATTTAGCATATAGACAGATTTATAAATTATGACAAAGCAGTATTTACATAAAATAT